GCCTCACTTGTTGGGCCATAAAAATATGAATGATTGCTAGAAATAAAAGGGCATTAAAAAAACCCTGTGAGCAGCAAAGAGCCGCGCTTTTAGCCAATCAATTAAAAGGCAGAGCGAGGGGATTAGCTCACCGAAATATTAATTTTTAATAAGGTTGTGTCTGAGCTCCTCCAAAGCCCCCAAGGCCCTGAGCTGTGCGGGTGGGCTGTGGGGGCTGGGCTGGGCTAGGGTGGTCAGCACCCACGTGGGAACATCCCTTCACCCCTGGGTCAGCACCTCTGCACCTCCCCAGGGTCAGCAACCCTGCACCCACAGGTCAGCACCTCTGCATCCACTGGTGAAAGCCCTGAACCCACAGGGGAGTTCCCCTGCACCCATGGGTGAGCACTCCTTGCTGCACAGGCCCAGGGATGGGCTTTACCCACACCCTGGGCTGGTCCCCAGGCATGGGGACAGGGATGGCAGTGGTGGGCTGTGGCTAGTGGAGAAACATCCATCCTTGATGTGTCCCCTCCCAACCCTCGCTCCCACGTGGGGACAGACACAGCAGCTCACTCCACCACCAGAGCCTGGGCCCCTCTGGGCTCTGTATTTATAATAAAAAAAATCATATACAAATACATACATATATATAATATATATAAAAAAAAAGTGGGCAGGAGGGCGTTGTGGATGCCGGGCTCAGTGCCTCTCTCTGCCTGCGCCTCCTCCTCCTGGGCTGCTCAGTGACACTGGCTTTGGGGGCCACATTTGTGTTCCAGGAGTTACTGGTGGCTGAAGGGGCATCCAACACTGTCCGAGAGGCAGCGGGTTTGGAGCATCCCTGGGCAAGTTCCTCCCCACCGCTCCGTGCCTCAGTTTTCCCACGCATACGAGGGTCGCCTCACGGCTGGGCCCCGCGGTGACATGTTCACTCGAGCGCAGAGGACGGATGTGGGACGTCCCCACGGCGGTGGCACTGGCCCTGGGCTCTAGGGCACCTGGATCTGCAGGTCCTCGTCCTCGTCGGGGTCACTGGTGCCATCCCCGGCGTCGTCGGGGCCGAAGCGGGTGCTGCGCATCTTGCCGAAGAGCGGAGTGCTCTGCTGCCGCCGCAGCCTGCCGAGGGACAGCCACAGCTGAGCCCGTCCCCCTGCACCCCTACAGCACGGCTGCACCCCTACAGCATGGCTGCACCCCGGGGGGCCTCCCTCCTGCAGCCCCCACCTAACTCTGGGTGCAGGATCAGCTCCCCCTGCCTGGGGCTGACCCTCCAGCACAACGAACAGGAGCCGTGGATGGTGCTCGGCACAGGTTAAACTCCTCCAGGGCTGGACACCACTGTGCTGCTCAGAGCCACACAGGAGTGCTGAGCTGGGAGGAGTCGTCCCCCTAAAATGAGGATTCCCCCCAAAATCCCCAGGAAGTCCCCGTTCCTGGGAGCCTGCAGTGGTTTTAGCTCCTCACTCGCCCTTGCGTGAAAATTCATCAAAGGAAAATTTATGAAGCAAATTTGAAATCCAAAGGCCCAGGATCCAGTGAGATCCAAACCATCCACTGCATTTTACTGGAAAGCATGAATTATTTAGAGACGAGTACATGGCGAGGCTGTGGGGGGGTGGTGACGAAGCCTCCATTATTCCTCCATGATTTAATGCAGATGTCCCAATAAAATAAAGGATGATTATAAACACCCCTCCTCAGTGCCTCCCGGAACCACGGCATCGATCCCACGGCCATTTCAGCTTTTTACTGCTGGAGAGGTGAAGCAGGGCCAGGGAAAGTTTTTAAGGGCAATAAACCTCAGCTCCCACCTCCCCAAACTCGTGTGGGATGCTTGGAGCCTGCCCTGGCCCTGGATACTGGCGGGTGCAACCCTAAGCAGTGTGAAACTGGGCTGTACCAGTCTCTGGGCAGCCTTGTGCTGGTTTAACTGGGAGGGGAATGCCATCCAGCTTGCAGTGGGGTGAAGGCTGCTCTGAGGATGGTTGTGCTCCTTCCGAGGATGTCGGAGGCACTTTGGCCATGCTTAGCCAGGGGTTCAACCAGGCAGATGCTGGTTGAGGGATGGTGGTAAGGAGAACATCACCCCACCCACGAGTCCTTGCTGGTCCCCACAGCATCCCAGCCAGCCCCTGCTCACCGGGACTGCAGATGCTCCAGCTGCACTTGGAAGCTCTCACTCTGCTCCGTCTGCTCATCCAGCGACCGCTGCAGCTTCCGCGTCTGGTTGTGGGCCTCATCCAGCTGTGGGATGGGATGGGATGGGATGGTGCCGTCAGCAGCCACGAAGGCATGAAGGGAGCAGACCCGCCCATCTCAACCCCCTCCACCAGCACAAGCTTCCCCACCTCATCCTCAGCTTGGGCCAGCTCCTTCTTCAGCTCCTCCACCCTCAGGCGCAGCTTCTTCACCTCTGCCTCGTGCTGCTCCACGCGGCGGTTGGCGTGGGCCAGCTCTGCCATCTTCTCCTGGTACTGCTTCTTCAGCTTGGTGTGGATGTGCTTCAGGTCGGCCAGCTCCTGTGGTGGGCATGGGGCAGGGGGCTGAGCAGGGGAGAGCCACTCCCACCACTGAATGCCCCCTTCTCCCTCCCCAGGGACCTCTCCCATTGCCCCACCCCATGACCCAGGAGCCAATGGAGCAAGGACGGGGTCACCACCATTCCTTAGGTGAAGGGTGGTGGCAGAGTTTGGGCTTGAGGGAGTCCTTGGGGATGCTGAGCCCCATGACAGGGTCACCCAGGGATGCAGTAGTGGGGGCCAGGACCACCCCCATGGCACCTTGTTCTTCTCAAAGAGCTCGGCCTGGATGGTTTTGAGGTCGGTGTCCAGGGCACTGGCTGTCTGGCGCCGCTTGCGAGCCAGCACCTCCTCCAGGTCCTCGATCTGTGCCCGCAGCTTCTTGTTCTCCCGCTCCAGGTTGAGCTTCTCTGTCTCCAGCCGCTCCCGACGGCCCCACTCAGCCGCGTTCTCTGCCTGCAGCCGCTCCATCTGGGACAGGGACATGGGGTGGCTGGGGGGCAGCAGGGACACCCCTCGCTGCTCCCTTTGCCCCCCGTGTTGGGGTTTGGCCTCACCTCCGCACGCAGCTCGGCCAGTTTCTTGTCCATGCTGGAGCGAGCGCCCAGCTCATCCTCCAGGTCCTCGGAGATGCGCCCCAGCTCATCCTGGTGGATCTCCTTCAGGATATTGAGCTGTGGGGGGACACAGCACCCCAGGTGGACAGTGAGCACCCACCTTC